TTGATGGCCGCCCCACATCTTCAGCATTAAACACCTCCCATTCTCCGAGGGTCCCCTTGTGCTCAGGACTGTCTCTAAGCCTTTTGGGGCCCCTGGCTTTGCCCTCTGATCTTGGGCCCTGGGGGGTTGGGGAGGATGGGGGTGCCAGACACGCCGAGAAAGATCCGCAGCCCCAATGAAGTCTTGGCCCACGGCAAAGGGGAACCAGGCAGGTGCTTGGTCTGAGACCCAGGTTCTGCAACCGGAAAGGGCTGTCCGAAAGGGGTCCCTGCGGTAGCAGTTGCTTGACAGCAAAATCCCCACTAGGGGTGGGTGGGAGGAAGGGGCAAAGAAACTGGAAAAAGAGGACGGGGCAGCGGGGGCCTCTGACTCTTCCTGCCAACGAGCTGGGGTGAGCTTTGGAGGAATGGGTCCTCCAAGTGGCATTCCGGTCTTGCAGCCCCTTACCTGCTCTCATCTCGGCTGTCCAGATCCTACCTCAGCCAACCCTGACCAACGCGGCCTTGAGAACTGGAAGAGGGGCAACCCTAGTGTGCCGGGCTGAAGAAAGGAGTCCCCGGGGACGCATCCTGGGGCTCTGGGCTTCCCTGCAGTGCCCTCAATCTTCCTCTCCCCGCTTCCTCCACGGCTGCTCTTCATGCAAACCCAAACCCTCCCTGGTTCCAAACCAAAGGGCAGAGATCATGTAGGGTGGCAGTGCCCTCCGCTGCCATGACTGGCAAGGGGCCTGCCCTCCCAAGAAGGCCGACGCTGCTCGGGCGCAAGGGACAGGCAGGGCTACTTGATGTGCTCGGCCGCGTGCGATGAGCAGTAGTACTTCTTGTGGGCAATGAAGGTAGACAGGCTGCTGAACTTGATGTTGCAGAGGCGGCAATAGCGGTGGCTGCCGTTGGCCACGGGGGTGGGAGGCCCTTTGCCCGAAGGGGTCTGCGCACCTTTGTCCGTGTACCCAGGAGGGGGGGCGCTGGGGAGGCCCTCGGGAAGCGGGGAGAGGGGCAATGGGGTGGAAGGGGAGAGGGGCAGGAGAGGCTGGGGAGAAGCCGTGGGTCGAGGGCTCCCATTGGACAGGGGAGGGACGGGCGCCTCTTTGCCATTGAAGCTGTCCTTGGGCAGCCTGGGGGCCGGCTGGAGCGGGGAGGTGGCTGGCAGTGAGGGAAGTGGGCTGCCATCGGCCAGCGTCCGGGTGGCCTCTATCAACGTGGGCCCTGCTGCTGCTGTTTTGGTCACAAACAGTCCGTGAGTATTTCGGAAGTGCTCTGCCAAGTCTCCCTTCACAGTGCCATTGATGGGGCAGTAAGGGCACACGGCCAGGGGCACCTTGGCACCGGCCAGGTGCTGGGCTTTGCCCTCCAGGTAGCGCTGCTGCTGCTGGAATGGCTCTACGGCCGGGAAGCCGCCTGGTGCAGCCACGGGGCTCAAGGAAGGCTCCCCCTTCTCCACCTTGATTGCTACCCCTTCGGCTTCCTCAGCCCGACCCTCCGGGCTGCCTTGGGCCCTCAGAGGGGTCGGGGCGGCCCCCTTGATCTTCTGCAGCTGCTCCAGGGTGCTGGTTTGCAAGGGCGTGGCTGGGCAGTAGTACTTCTTATGGGCCAGGTAGCTGTCGAGGGTGTGGAAACTGATCCGGCAGGCCGTGCACTCGTGGTAGTCCGCCAGGGGGAGGAGGGAGGCTGGGAGGACCCGGCTCCCGCTGCTCAGGCGGGGCTTCTTGCTGAGGTCGATGGGGCCCTCGGCATCCGGGCTCGAGCTGGGAGACGGGCTAGCCTTGACCATGGAAATGAGGGCGGGGACCACGGGGGGCAACTCGGGGCGCGGGGCCTCGGGGGCAGCCCCCAAGTGGCTGCTGGCGCCGTGGATCTCGTACAGCTTGCGGCGCTTGCGTGTGCGGATCGGCTGGGGGAGGAAGGACAGCTTGCCAGCCGCACTGCTCCGGCGCAAGGGAGGGTCGTGGCGGGAGGCGCAGTAGTAGCGCTTGTGCACCATGTAGGTCTCGTGGCGGCTGAAGCGGATGTTGCAGGCTTCGCAGACGGTCCGGTTGGGGTCGTCCTCTGGTTCTTCCACTGAGCTGGCCCCTGGGCTCGGGCTCCCCTCGCTGATGCGCCCGGTTCCATCCGTCTCGGGGGAGGGGCTGGCTTTGGCTCCGCCCTCCTCCACTTTGACCTCTTGCTTGATCTCCAGGGCGGGAAGGGTAGCGTTTCCCTCCGGCTCCCCCTCCTGGGCTGCGCTGCTCTCTCCGGGCGACAGGTGCGGCCCGGCAGCGCTTGGGGCTTTGGGCGTCGTGGCAGGAGCCATCTTGGCTTTGCGCAGGACCGATGGGCTCTCCTCAGCCAGGCGGCGGCTGGAGCAATAAAGCCGCTTGTGGACGTAGTAGTTGTTGATGTTGTTGAACGTGATCTCGCACTCAAAGCAGGTGGCGCCCTTGGGCAGGGGGGTGCCTGGGAAGAGGGCGGGTGGCACACCTCCGTGGCCCTGCTTTAGGCGGCTGTGAACCAGCTCGGACATCTTGGCCAAGATCTCGGACGCCTGGGGCAGCACGGCGGCTTCATGGCCAAACATATACTGGGGCAGAAAGACGGTGCCTCCAGAGGTGCTGGCGCCAAGCTCGCTGGGCACTGGGCTGGATCCCGGGGTGGGACTAGTGATCTCTGACTTCACCTTCACAGAGTGCAGGCTGTGGGGTGAGGGCACCCTGGAGGACGCATCCACCTCGGCCTCGGGTTCAGGAGCTGCCTCTTCTTGGGGGGCTCCTGGAGGGCCTTCCCCCTCCTCTAAAGGCTCTTCCTTGATTTGCACGGGTGGGGCCCCTTCAAGCCAGCTGGCAGCAGGGCTCTTATCGTGGGGAGGGGAACCATTCCCCGCGTCCTCTGCAGGGGACACCCTTGCATCTTGCAAAGGGGATTTGGCGGGGGTCTCCGGCGGGCTGGGCTGAACAGCTTTGAGCTCTGAATTGGGCAGAGCTGTCACTGCGGGGCTATGCAAAACCACGTGCTGCTGGAGGCTGGTCAGGCAATTGGCCACATAGCCACAGAAGCTGCACTTGAACACGGAGGATGAACCTGGAGAACTCAAGCCTGCAGGAGAGAAGATAAACAGGAGGGTTGAGCCTTTATGGGGAGGCCACGGGGTGGCTGAGCTCACATGGGGGTGGTGACTGGGCTCCTCCGTCACCATCATTTGCACACATCAGTTGACCAGCCTTGCACCCATCAAGGAAAAGTCACCTGCCTTCTGGGCTCTCCAAGGTCATAGCCACCAGGATGAGCCAACTCTCACGACTTATTATTATTAATTTGACCAGGCAACCTGGTCAATTGCCACCAATACCGATCCACTTATGGACACTTGCTAGAATTCTCCAGCCAGTTCACCCCCTGCCTGCTATTAATTTAAAAAAAATTGCAACTTTATGAAGCAGGTTCCTCAGAACTCTATCAGCCCTAGTTAGACCTTCTAACCAGGACAGGATCTCTCTGGCACTGATGAAACTAGGCAATGAAATGTCTGTAGGAAAACCACCAAGCTAAGCTCAGAGCGCAGCACCAAGGACCCCTCATTTCAACCCTACAAATATTCTCCTCTGTTCGCAGTCTACCTCTGGAACCCTCTCACTTACCCGGGGCCATTGGCTTAGTGGTGGAAGCAGGGATGGTGGGGCCTGGGGAATAGACCTCTCCTTTGGACCCAGGCTGGCAGATCATGTGATGGGTGACCAGGTGGCTGTAGAGGATGTCCCGAGTGGTGGAGATGAAGCCACAGCTGTGGCAGACACCTGGAAGCACAGGAAACTGCCTGATTCTTGGTCTGCAGAGCGTAAAACTACCTACTTGGGGCTGCCAAGAGCTCTCCACACACACCTGTCGATGGTGGGCACCAGCTAGTGAGGCTGGGGACATTTGCATGCAAAGCTGGTGGCCACCAACAGCCTAGATGCCGGTTACTTGAGGGGTTACTGATGCTGGCGGAGACCAAGTGTACAGTGGGGAGGATGAAGCGGCTTATATGGACAAAGCCGACTTAGAACTGTAGTACATGAACTTATTACAATCGTTTAGGACTATCCATCAAATCTAAAATTATAGAGTAGATACGACTTTCCAGAGCTTTAAGCCAAACTCTTCCATCTGCAGATGCTGTGAACTTTGGACCTTCTGCACGTCAAGCAAATGCTCTGCCACTGAGCTTGTGGCATCTCCAAGAGGCATCTAACAGCGGACAACTCTCTTCTCCATAAGACCAGCCTCTTCTTCACAGCTTTCCGCTGCCAATTACAGAAACCCAGGACTTTCTCCAAACCCACAACCAGTTAACCTCAATCCAGAGGGGAACTCGCAGGAGTAGGACCCTGGGCAGAACGGAAGCTTCCACCACCAGCAATGGAGCCTTGCTTTGGCCTTGCACAAGGATTGGTGAAGCAGGAAAAGTAGTGTGTCCACAGCTAATGGGTATCCTCAGAAGGATTCGTTCAGGGGTGGGATTCAACATTTTTTAACAACCGGTTCTGTGGGCGTGGCTTAGTTGGTGGGTGTGGCTTGATGGTCATGTGACTGGCTGGGGGTGGCCAACTCAACATCACTCACATCGAGGCACGCATCTCCTCGCCTGGCCTCTCATGACTGTGGGGATGCTGCAACAGTCGTCAGTGTGAAAAAGGGCCATAAGTCACTTCTTTCAGTGCCATTGTAACTTCGAATGGTCACTCCACACAAGCAAAGTACCAGCAAAGGAGGGGGGAAAAAACTCCAGAGAAGTTCCTGAGACAGGAAGTCTAGTCCTGCCAAGAATGTAATAAGGGTTAATGGAGAGGCAGTTTCTGTACGCAACACCAGAATGTTTCCTTCCTGCCTTCCTTACAGGATTAGCCCTGTAATTTCTTCTAACAACCAGTTCTCCAAACTGCTTAGAATGTTAACAACCGGTTCTAGCGAATAGGTGCAAACCTGTAGAATCCCACCCCTGGATTCGTTCCATGCCGTACTTCTACCCCAGAGTCCAACTTACCGTTCAGGGTATCCGTGTGTACTTTGAGGTGTCGCTCACAGTTTGCTTTTGTTGTAAAGGCAGACAGACAGATGAGGCAGACAAACGGCCTCTCCCCTGAAAAAGAAGCCAGAGCTGAACTGCAGGACTTGGACAAAAATGGAGTTACCTCCCAGCCCAAAAGTGGCAGGGCTGGCCCAAGGTTTTCTGCATGGCTCTGCCCCATGACGGAGAGGTTAAGGTGCATCTGCGGATGGGTGCACCTTACGAAAACCAGCTGGACTTTGGCAGGGCTGCAGGAGATCCCCATGGCTGAGATTAGACTTTATATTAGAGAATAACCCCACAATGGCCACCCAGTTGGCCTCATCCTTGATCACATGACGTGTGCAGGACTGCAACCTTTGAAAGCTGGGGTGAGTTAGGGCCGGTGCCTCCAGCCTCTGTGCCTGAACCGGGGCCCCTTCCTCCTGGACCTCCCTCCGCTCCTCTCCCAGGGCCCTTCTGCCCCTCCCCCCCCAACCTGGCTCCTCCCGGGAACGGCGCAGCTCTTACCGCTATGGCTGCGCATGTGGATCTCCAGGGAGCTGGCGCTGGGGCAGCTCTTCTGGCACTGAGGGAAAGGGCAGATGCGCTCGTTGGGGTAGGCATCCTTGGCCTTCTCATCCAGGGCGGGGGAGGTGGCGCTCTGGCGGCTGGCGCAGTAGTACGTCAGGTGAGCCTGCAGGTTCCGCTCGCTCCGGTACCAGATGCCACAGTCCTTGCAGGGGAAGACGTCCTCTGGAAGGCAGAAGAGAACCAGAGAAGGAGGAAGACAGTGGAGAACCATCCAAGGGCAGGAGGGTCAGAGGCCCTCCGCCAGACTGGAGGCCAGGAAGCCCAGACTCAACGCTCAAGGGACGCCCTGGGCCACCGTTCGTTCTTAGCCTGGTCCAAAAAGGTGATTACAGGAATAAAACGGTGGCTTCTCGATCTGCTACCTTCCTCTCGATTTCCATTTCTACAGGCAGGCCTCGATTTACAATTAATCATTTAGGGACCATTTGAACTTACAACAGGCCTGGCAAGAGAGACTTACAAACGGTCCTTGACCTTACAACCCTTGCAGCATCCTCGGAGTCATGTGATCAAAATTCGAGAGCTTGGCAACTGGAATCTATTTACAATGGTTGTAAACACTCTGGGGTGTGTGTGTTGTGTGATCCCCATCTGTGACCTTTCCAGCCAGCTTCTGGCAAGCAGAGTCAACGGGGGAAGCTGGATTCACCAACCAAAATGTGATTCATTCAACGACCACAACAAAAGGAGGTCGTAAAATCGGGCATGGCTCGCTGAACAACCGCGTTTCTTAACAATGGAAATTCTGGTTCTAATTGTAGCCGTGAAGTCAAGGAGTGCCTGGAATGATCTGATTATATGCCATGAAGTTGTGGTCTACTCTTAGTGCCCTCACCGGGCATTATACCTTCTTGATGTTCTTTTATCCTCCCTTACAACAGATAATCAGAGTTGGAAGGGACCTTGTAGGTCATCTAGTCCAACCCCCGGCCCAAGTGGGAGACCCTGCACCATTTCTGACAAATGGCAGCCCAGTCTCTTCTTGAAAGCTTTCAGTGATGGTGCTCCCACAACTTCTGAAGGCAACTTCTGTTCCATGGGTTGATTGTTTCTCACTTTTGGAAATTTTCTCCTTATTTCCAAGTTGAATCTCTCCTTGATTCATTTCCATCCATTAATCCTTGTTTGGCCTTCGGGTGCTTTAGAAAATAGCTTGACTCCCCCTCCTCCTCTCTGTGGCAGCCCCTCAAATATTGGAAGATGCTCTCCTGTCTCCCCTGGTCCTTCTCTTCCCTAGACTAGCCAGGCCCAGTTCCTGCAACCGTTCATTGTATGTTTTAGTCTCCAGTCCCCTCATCATCCTGGTTGCTCTTCTCTGCACTTTTTCTGGAGTCTCATTGTCTTTTTTATAGTGTGGTGACCAAAACTGGATGCAGTGCTCTAGGTGTGGCCTTACTCCCTCCCAGGAAGACCCCACCAGTCTGAGGGAGCCAGTCCAGGAGGACCTGAGGAAGGGGCTGCCCCGAGTGTGTGCCCACGATGGGCAGGACGGATGAGAAGTTCAGAGGAGTATTTGAAGAGGAGTCAGCTAAAGGCAAGAGGAACCACTGAGGGACCGACAGTCTGCCAGACGCCTGGGACTTCAACTCCCAGAATCCCCAGGGGTTGGCACCCGTGGCTCCAGCAGCAATGGCTGCAGGGAGGCCTTAACCGATCACTTACTGTTGACAACTGCTGTGGCTAAGATGGCTGCCATCCCCGCTTGCTGGGGAAGCAGCTGGATTTCGGAAGGCAGAGCAACAGGGGGAGTGGCGTCCCCACCCTCGATCTTCCCAGCGTGGTTAGGGAATCCCATCGGCTCAGCCATGACGTACGCCTTCAGCGCATCTCCTTCGGAAAGAGGCCTGGTGGTTTTACACCAAATGGAGTCATCTGGAAATGGAGGAGGAGGAGGAGGAGAAGAAAAAAAACAACACAATTATGGGAACCACGTCCAGCCTCGGTTCTGTTTGCTCTATGAAATGGCCAATATTTTGCCTGGAGAGATGATATCCTTCTGTTGGGACCTAACGTCTTCCCAAGCAGCTTTGGGGGAAAAATCACCCTCCCTGGACTCTTACTCCTGGTTGTAAAATGGGAGCTGCAGCAGGTAGCCTGTCTCAAAGGGCCACCCCAAAGTCAAAACTCTAGGAGGCGAATGGAAAAAGAGAAGCTGCAAAATAAATGTTGTGCAGTGGAATTTGAATTGATTTTCCAGATTGAATTCTGCAACAACTCCAATGAACAGCAGAATGATGTGTAAAATAGAGCTGCTCATTGGATTGTCCGTATGGATAAAGAGGGGAATAAAAGGGGTATCTAAAATATTATATGCGCATTTTTATACCGTATTTATACCTACATTTCTCTCTCTCACACACACATATTGTGTAGGGGCATCAGAGGGGTGATTATTTATTAAAGGTATAAAAAGTGGCTTCTGCCTTCTTGGGATGATGTGCAATTATTAAACATTCTGGTGTTGCCAAATACCCCGAGAAACCCTCAAACAAGCCGATCAAAAATGATACACCCAAAGGTGAGGTAAGGTGAAGTGGCTTAGCCACTGAGATGCTGGGTGTCTCTGAGGATTCAAATTAAAGGACAAGGGCAGGCAGGAGCATCACTGTCCCTTTTAGCGGCAGTTTCGAAAATGCCTGTTTGATCTTTCCGAAACTTTTGCCACTGATTACTCTGTGCAACGCACACAGCCAAAGAAAGGTGGCAGTGCTGGACCACACATTCACAAAAAAACAGCACCATCTTCTTTCTGGCTCTCTCTCCCAAAGGCTTCGCACACCTGACCTGTCCATGCCGAAGCCCCTTGCCCACATCCCTTCCTTGAGCTATGCCTGGATTGCTACCCCTGGAAACATCTTGCACTATAGACCCCACCCCCCTTTCCCCAAATCTGCTTTTGACAAGAGAGCTACCGTTTCATCCCTAAACCCTCGTGCCTGTGGGTGCCCATTTATTTCATCTGTGCCTTCCAACTCATGGAAGGATGCTTTCTACTTGTCAGCCCCTCTTGGCTGCTTGAAATATACTGACGGACTAAGTACAGCTAGTCCTTGACTTACAACCATTCATTTAGTGACCATCCAAAGTTACCACGGCACTGAAAAAGTGACTTACAGGTGGTTACTGAACGTATGACCATTGCAGCATCATACATTCATTCCCCAGAGTCATGTGATCAAAATTTGGATGCTCGGCAATCTGCACATATTTACAGTGGTTGAAGTGACCCCGAAGGTCATAAAATTGGCTGTGACACATTTAACGACTACCTCGTTTAGCCATGGAACTTCGGATCCCAATTGTAACTGTAAGACAAGGACTACCTGTATGGTTAACAGCAGACACCAGGCGTGTGCTGGCATGAGGTGGGGAGAATTAGCTCCTGAAAACAAGTGAACTGCACTTCTCCTTCGAAGGGGTCTTTTTAGCCCCCTTGCCTGTCCTGGAACGATCTCTCTTCTCCCCTCCCCACCCCAAACCAGGCAGGGCTCACTGCTCAAGCGCCAACCTTTCTTGTAGATCACCGAATTGGCGTCCCCTTCGCCAGGAACCAAGGAAAGCTTGGCCAGCCAGCACGTGTCGTCCTGCAGGATCAGGGTCACGGGTGGGTTCAGCTGAGGAGAGAAAAGAAGTGGGCTGAATGTGCACGCCAGTCGCTCTCCCTCCTGGCCAAACAGGTTCCACTCGGAACTCCAGCAGGAACAGAACCTGCCACCGCCAGAAGATCAATTTCAGCTGGCCAGATCTCAAACGTTGGCCCAGGACGGTCCTGGCAGAAGCTGCAGGAGATGCTCACATTTTCCACACAAATGCTCCGCAATGGCGGGGTGGGCATCCTGCCCAGGTTCATCTCCTCCACTGGTGCCCCTTCCCATTTCAAGAGCTGGCCTGGCTCCACCCTCAGGGAACCAGAACGGAGGCAGCCTTAGACCAGCGGATGATAATGGAGCTGCCTGGCGCCTCCCCCCCAATCCAAACAGGCAGAGATCCGAACTGAGTCAAACCATCAATGCTGGTGTGTGTGTGTGTCTGGGCTACGTGTCCCCATGTCCCCTGAATCTGTCCAGGTCAGTGGGTGGCTTCCTTCCTCGCTCCAGTGGTGACGTGATCCACGTGGCCGCGGAGCGAAGCCTGGAGCTCACTTCCCTTCCGGACGGCTGCTCAGCAGGGCCATGGCAGCCCCCTCCCGAGGAGTAAGGGGGCCTCCGCCCGAGGAAAGCCCCCCTCCCTTGTGGAAAGTGACCCGGCGGCCACAGCACGAACACAACAAGCTTGTTATTTCCTCTTCTTCGTCACTCGCGGGCCAAGCCGTGCCGGCCGGGGAGGAAACAGCCACTTCACCCCTAACCCTGGTGGTGTGCAGGGAGGAAAAGAGATTAGAGGGGGCAGAGGAGGAGGAGGAGGAGGAGGAGGAGGAGGAGGAGG